TGTTGTGTCTTCGTCTGTAGGCATGTCACATTTTCTATCTTTTAAAACTCAATAAATTCATTAATAATAAGACCCATCCCTTTACAATACATACATCCAGACCCCGTCTAAAAACTGCGTTTTCGAATTACTTGAGTTATAGTGAGTTGATATATAACAAAAAATGGGCAACTTAGATTTGTTCGATTATAATGCTTCCAGTCGGAAGTAACACTGTAGAAACGAACTGAAACTGAGTGGTGATAAAACAAATCATAAAACAGAGAAATTGATTCTTTGCATATATATTTCAAAATCTTATTCTAATTACAAAAAATGATAACTCATTCTAATTACAAAAAAATAGCTTACCTGCAACAATTATTTTTTATGTTAAAAACGCCTATAAAAGTTGTTATATAAAAGTAAAAGTGAAGGATAATCCTCAGAAATAATAAATAATAATTACAACGGATCGTTTGAAGTCGGTCGTTGTATAAAAGGACCAGTTATTATCGCATTTGGAGACGCCTATTTCTTCCTTGACGCAAAACTTTATTTTAATGATTCATCTATGATAATAAAAACAAGGAGACAAAAAGGAACTGGTTTCAATAAGAGCTTAAGAAAATTAATTAGATACAGTGATCCATGAGGAGAACGTCGGGAACTGCACTACGGTGGATTTCAGGAACGAGTGGGATTGGAACTTGTGCTCGTGACAACACAAGATCCGAAAAATCCTAGAAACCTTATTCCTGCATCTCCCTATGCTCGTCTATCTTCTACCCCTAGTCTGAGTATATCGGCGATAACACGGTCATTCCGTAACCCGTGTTAGCGCCAGTCAACTCGTCAGTCCTCTCACCTGTCCATTGGTGCCTAATCCTCAATTACTCAGTTGGACGGCCTACACGTCAGCCTCAATACTTCCTATCACATGCTGGGCAAACTTCAACTAAGCAGGAGCTTACTACCGTCCTCAGGGCGGACAGGTGTCACGGTTTCCACCTAAATTGCTTAAACATTTGCTTTTGCCCCCTTATTGGAGGAAAGTTTCGCATGCCATCCATCCTAGGCGTTTTCAGCCTCCGCTAGATGGCTTTTCCGTTTCCACTGTCCATACAAATGGGTTCATTTAGATTAAGGGGGACGAGAAGACTCGACGAGAAACCCGTGACGAGAAAAATCTTGTTACAACGCAAATAATAGTTTTCCCACCATATAATTCTGTTTGTTATCTTCTAAAATTTAGAATACACTCGAAAGTTCAAAAAATCTTTGTGATGTTCCCTTTTGTAAGCTCCCCATCATCATTCAATGTAAAAAATTATTATTTCCAGTGATTATACTCGTTATGTTGTATCATATCATCTCGTCGAGCCATGGAATATTCACTCCACTTCGACCCGATCCACCACGCATCCAAGAGGCTGAGTATTTGTTTATTTAACGCGTACGTGTTCATCGCTAAACACAGCCACTTGGGGATCTCCCGCATGAATCTCACTGAGATATTCTATCGTTTTAGTGTGGATCCATCCACCGATTGAACTATCAATTCAAGTGCTTCATTTACAATGAAAACTAATTACCTATCATTTAGTGACATTCCGAATAACGGACATATTTTCACGTTAGCAGCTTCCTTTCGTCGTCTGATGGACAGCCGTCATCTTTCCTCTTCACTCTGTCCACCGAACCGCAGAAAAATACACAATTCCCATTTGTCAACATTGAACATCAATAGTTTTAACAATTGTTAACGAAGATTTTTTTGATATGGTTTTAAGGTACAGTATTTCCTTGGACCGATTTCCCTCAATTGTCATCGTAATCCATACTATTCCTTTATTTTTCCTTTTGGTGATTGAGTGTATCAATTTGATTAGATTGACTACGAAATTAATTTATTTATTCATTTGGAGCACCGGTGGTGTACTGTTCATGATGTGACGGAGTAGCCATATGTACTCTCCTCTGAGTCCTTACTGAGGTGATAGTCTGAAAGATACGGGGTAATATGGTGTTGTCCTTACTTTTTTCGCTGTAATGAATTGGGTGAGTGTTCGGAATAATTCCGATTCAAATTGAGAGCCTTGGTCTGTAGTAATGGTGAGAGGTGTACAAAATATGGAGATCCAGTGATCGAAGAGAGCTGTAACCACTGTGTCAGCACTCATATCTCGCACTGGGACAGCCACCGGCCACCTAGAGAATCGATCGATCATTGCTAAGCACTATCGAAAATTTCTTATCTGATAGAAAGGCTGTCAGCGTGATGGAGGCCAGGCTCTGCTTACTCACTTCAAAGGCTTGTTCACTCTGAGAGGTCTAGATGATCTTATGCCTGTCGTTCTTCTTGGTGGAGTTTTTCATATAGTGGTTCAGGGGAACCTGATGATGTGCTGCCTTGGGTAGAATACAGCGGTAATAATTCATCATTCCCAAAAACTTTCGTAAATCAATGACTGTGTCAAGTGTTGGAAAGTTGATGATAACCTGTTGTGATCGCTGACTTCTCGATGTCGTCATTGTGCATGGGGATTTGATGATACGCTCTAATCAAATCCAGAGTAGAAAAAACTGACTTTCCATGTAACAGTGGAAATAAGTCTTTTATGAGTAGTGGTGAGTACTTATCCGGTATGGTGATTGCATTTAACTTCCGATAATCCCCACAGAGACGCCAAGCATTTGCTTTCTTTTTCGTCAGCTGGATTGGACTGGACCAGGGACTACTTGATGGTCGACAAATTCCGTATTTCAATAACGCGTTAATCTCGTTTTTTGCTGCTAGGGCTTTCTCCCTAGCTAGTTTTCGCGGACGCTTAGAAAATGGAGGTCCTGTTGTGACGATCCTGTGAGCAGAAGAAGTGGGTCTCTGAGTGTTTGAAATTCGTGCTGCTTTCGTGATTGCGATGAATTCTTGCAGAAGTTCTGAGTATGGTTGACTGGAGATTAAAGTTAAAAAGCTGTGAAGAGACGTCCTAAGAACTTCACCTCTTGGGGTGCAAGAGGTGGTGGAGTCTATGACTTGTCAATTATTCAAATCAACACGCAGCGCGTAGTGTGCTAGTCTCCTTCTACGATTGCTGACTGAACGTCAGCAAGGAGGAACGTCTAGATGAAGATTTTCTGCAAATTGAAATGCAATGTTAATGTTTTGGTACCATACGTATGTATGATTGATTCATTAGCGGCATAGAGTTTAAAAACATCGCGCGTAGGAGCACTAGTGAAATAGTGAGCTGGTAAAATCGATATTATAGAACCAGAATCGATGAGGAATTTCTGTAGTAAAATTTTGTCCATTAAATAGAGTCTGTTCTATGTCATGATGGTGTGTTGGTTGCTGTCGCCAACAGTGTTACGTGACGACAGCGTCACAAGTTTCCCTTCTGAGAAAGCGAGGCTGCTGTACAGGGTGGGACACATCGTTTGGCCTTGTCGCCATATCTGCAATGGTAATAGCATACTCAGGTGTTGGAATTTACTGTTGGTGATGCACTTAAATGCCTAGGTGAACATCTGGAGCGATGTCTACCACGTGTATTGCTTAGTTGAGTGATTTTAGATGATAGATCACTAAACCCGTGTAGAAAAATTTCAAATTTATCGTTTAACCTTTGAACCTTGTCCTCTAGGGTGAGTTCCACAAGACTAACTGGTCTCGAAGTTGTGTGTGTGGCCATCACTGTTAATGCTGAGGAAATCTCATGGATGCTATCAGCCAGTTCTGCCAGCTTTTCTAGGTCCAAGTCGGTTCTGGCAGATATAATACTGTGTAAAGTGATGGGCAAATGATTTTTCCAGAGCGTACGCATCATCTCGTCTGTGACGCAACCAGCAGCAAGTTTCCGCATTTCACGTAGGAGCTCACTAGACCTTTTTGAGCCAAGATCTAACCCTGTTAAGAGTTTGTGTAATTGTTTTTCTACGGAGTCTGTAAACCTGGAGATGAGTTTTTCTTTAAGTTGTAAATACTTATCTTGCTAGGGAGAATTCCTCATGATGTCTGATATTTGTTTTAGGCAGTCCAATGCAGAAATTACGTAGTAATATTTTGCGCTGTCCCCCGTAATTCTTTCCATATAAAATTGTGCCTCGATTTGGAAAAACCACAACTCAGGAGTGGTCTTCCCAAATGGTGGCAATCTAACTGAGCCTACTGCTGCTACTGCTGCTCCAGGGTCAATGTTTTCGTGTGTCCGGGTGGATTGTGAATCGAGCTGGAAGTTTGATCCTGGATTTTAAGTATTTGACGTTGACTGAGCCTCCAATTCTTGGAGTGCATGCTCGAGTTCCTGGATTCGTTCCTCTTGTTGTTCCCAATGACGGTTTCCGTCAGTGGGTGACGGAGAACGATAAAGCGACATATGGTCAGTTAAGTGTACTTGCCAAAAAAACTATTGGAGATCACTTGTTGGTGTGCAACAAAAAAGGACGTCGTATAATGCTTTAATAATGCTCTAATTCAGTGATTGGGGTCACCAATGTGGTGCTTTGGGGGTGCATCCACTAAAAATATCACTTCAGAAATAAAAAAGATTATAACGCTTATTGTACAAACTAATCACGTGCACAACGGCTTCAAATAAACCATAATTATAAATTATGAGTGAAGGGTTTCTCGGCTACAGCTGTAGCTACTCGCGAGCGTTATGAGGGAATAAACTTTGCTTCCGCCGACTAGGTAAAACGGGCGTCCGATCGGCCGATAAACTAGATGATGGAATGAAATTATCCGCGACTTGTAAATGAGTTTCAATTTTGATTGCGAATCTCATTGTCACATGTCTACTTCAGTAGCTTTAAAAATTAAATCTCTACGCAGCTGGCGGATCAAAGGAGCTGCGGTTGGAGAGTTCACTCGGTGGTCATTCCGAGTTTGATGACCTGGCTCCTGGTAGTTCGTTTATTTAGTGTTCATTGGTGCCTAGAAACTGGACTTTTGGCTAAGCGTCAGAAATTACATCTCTTCATACTATCGTACTTATAACATACACTATTGAACTCACCCAAGTATGTATATCTTAGAATCATCCAGTATTGAGTAATTGCTTGATGGTACTGGTTTGACAGACACGACTGATATTCGTGGTCCTTTAGAGTGATGAGTACCATTACCCAATTTTTCGATTCTATCAGCACTTGCTCGGAGTAGGGATGAAAGCGATGTACAATTGCAAGTTCCAGGAAGGCATAGACCCAGGAATACTTGTCTGGTCTAGACAAATAATACAAAAAAATTAATTTCTATTGCAGAAATATGAAACAATACAAAAAAGTGTATATAATATGATAATCAGGTCGAGAAAATTGACACCTGTTTAGTCGTATCAATCCCACGTATAATTGGCCTTTTTAATATGATCTCTTACGTTTTTTAATTCCATTGGCAATTATAAAACAGAATTTGGATAATTTTGAGAATTCCAGGAGAAATAAAAAATAAATTTGCCGAAAGGCCCTAATAATAATCGAGTATAGCGGTAACACGGAGGGTATTTCCGGTCGGCATAAGACAGTTACGGCTTATAAAATTTGGGCCCATTTTAGTTTAGTTTCTACAGGCGCCCACTTTGCTGCCCTGATCAGGGATCAAACCCTGCGAGCCCTAGAGGCTTGCAATTTTAAATCTCACTGCGGGACTCAAAGAGCAACTATCAAGTTGCTCGAGGAGAACCGACATGAGGAAAACGACAAGCCTGTCGACGGGTGAACCTAAAAATGGTTCATAAGTCGGTAGAAATAGTCCAGATTAATCTGCACCACAGTAAAAACGCCTCAGCAGTTCTCTGCAAGACGCTAGCTGGGGTGCAGACAGCCATAGCCCTAATTCCAGAACCATGGTTCGTGAACGGGGTGGTAAAGGGCCTGAGGGGGTGTGGAAGAATTTTTCACTCGAACACCCAAAGAAACAAGATTAGGACCTGTGTGTTAGTAAAGGGCGCACATGCGACCTTCTTACACCAACAAAGCGGTGAGGACCTCACGGCTGTGAAACTCAAGGTCCTCACCGAAGAGAACGAGGCCGTGGAATTCATAGCGGGATCAGCATACCTGCCATATGATTCCATGGAACCTCCCCCAACAACGGAGGTCGAAGAACTCACTAAAAAAGTGAAAGACGAAAGGCTGCAACTTCTGCTTGGTTGCGATGCGAACTCACACCATCTGGGGTGGGGAAGCTCAAATACCAATGCTAGAGGAGAAGCCCTAAACGACTTCATTATGGAAAAAGACCGCCAAATCCTGAACAGAGGGAAAGAACCAACCAAAAATTACTGAAAAAATGGATGGTCCAGACTGGGACTTGAACCCGGGACCTTCCGATTATGCATCGGGTGCTCTCCCAACTGAGCTATCCGGCTCCTAGCCATTTCTTCTATTCACTTTTCTTGCCTATATATGGAGCACCGCCGTCCTTCATACGGCAAACATTTTTATCATCAAGACGGGAAGTTTTATATAGCGTTCCACATTTCTTGTGACGTCAAAGAAAATCGTTGGATAGGATTTTGGATGAGGTAGGAAAGGGAACAGGATAATTCTCCATATAATTTTTGCGAGAAAAATTACTGAAAAAATGGATAGTCCAGACCGGGACTTGAACCCGGGACCTTCCGATTATGCATCGGGTGCTCTCCCAACTGAGCTATCCGGCTCCTAGCCATGAAGACATGAAGTGTTGGACATAACCATCTGCACGACAGACATGGCACGTTGGGCAAAAGACTGGAGGGTGTCGAAAGAACCTTCGGGCTCAGACCACAGCCGAATACGACTGTCACTAAAGTTCTAATCGGAGCAGGTCCCTAGGAGCAATCGAAAGGACACAAACTGGGGCAATTACAGAGAGGAACTCTTCGTGAGAATCCAAGATGTACCCTCAAGGTTCAGAAATAAGAGAGACCTGGAACATGCAGCCAAACGTCTCGGGGAAGTGATCAGGGACTCTTATGAAAACCACTGCACCATTAAAAGACTGCGGAATACAAAAACGGTGGGCTGGTGGAATAACCAACTGTCCATTTTAAGACGCCAGCTAAGGAAAGCGTGGGACAAGGTGAAGACCGCGTACACGGAAAACAGCAGGCAGAAGGCCCTCGAAGATCGCAGAGATCTTCAGAGGAAAGATAATAAAGCACTCGTAATAGCCAAAAACGAGGGCTGGAAGAAAGTTAGCAGTAGGGTGGAGAGCCAATCGGAAGCTTCAAAGCTGGTAAAGATCCTAGGAGGACAGGGTGCTTCTAATCTGGGTTGTCTCATCAAACCGGATGGAAGCTATACCTGGACCAGAGAAGAAACTCTCCAACTGCTACTAGAAGAGCACTTCCCCGGGTTCACGAACTCGGGGGATGTGAAACAAGGAACAGAAACCCGTAGAGGCACATACAAATACAAGGACGTACGAAGTGATCAGCCACTGGATGAGTAGAGTAGGCCTATGCCTGGCTGAGCAAAAGACGGAAGCAGTGCTAATCTCGAGCCGGAGGACTCTGGAAAACATCACGCTGAGAGCCGGGAACTTCGAACTCACTTCTCAGCCCTACATAAGGTACCTGGGAGTGATGATTGATGCCCGGCTCAATTTTAGGCAGCACGTGGACCACACCACCACCAGGGCGTCTGCAGTCCGAGGGGCACTTGCTCGCCTTATGCCCAACGTCGCTGGCCCCAAGCAAAGAAGGAGAATGCTGCTGGCCTCTGTGATTACATCAGTTCTGACATATGGCATCGCCATTTGGGGTGAAGCGTTGCAGATCCAGCAGACCAGACGAAAATTGGCATCGTGCTACAGGCTTAGTGCCTTAAGAGTCACCAGCGCGTTCCGCACAGTCTCGGAGGACGCAGTCGGGGTACTGGCGGGGATGGTCCCGATAGACATACTCGCGAGAGAGCGCAGAATGTCCTACCGGCGGAGAGACGAGCCGGAGCACGACATGGCGGTGAGACGAATCAGCTTGGAGAGCTGGCAGGTGAGGTGGGATGCATCCACGAAAGGACGCTGGACTCACCGGCTCATCCCGGAGATTAGTGTTTGGATCAACCGACGGCATGGCGAGGTGAATTATTACATGACGCAGTTGCTGTCGGGACACGGGTGCTTCCGGGGGTACCTGCACAGATTCGGATACGAAGATTCGCCGGACTGCCCGTCCTGCCCCGGAGCAGTTGAGAACGCGGAGCATACCTTCTTCGTATGTCCCCGCTTTGAAGAGAGCAGAGTGGAGTGGGATAAAGCGGTAGGAGGTCACACACCTCCCGAGGGTTTGGCGACGACCATGCTCTCGTCAGAGGCCGCCTGGCAGGCTACCAGTGATTTCGCGGCGGTGGTCCTGAAGGAACTGCGCAAGGCAGAACGCCGGAGGAGGGAAGTCTCTCAGGCAGGTGACCTGGTAGCAGTGGCTACCATGGGGATGTAACCCCGGCTGGTAAGTAGAGCGCGTAAGTCGCTGATGTCCCCCCCCGTGATGTAATGCCGGCAGGCGGTCCCGCGGGGAATAGGGGGGTCAGGGAGAGGAAGAAAAAGGGGGTTTACTCAGTAAGAATCTGAGATCTGGCCTTGATTGACCAAGGCCAGAACCTATGAAGATTCCCCAAAACCTCTATAAAAAAAAAAAAAAAAAGGGCAGGCAGGTCGACGGAAACTGCCCTGCATCACCTAGTGGCCAAGATTGAGGAACAGATAGAGGGAAAGGGGAAGGCATGGGGTGTCAAATGACGACCAGGTCATGCCTATTCGTACTTTAACCATAAACATAGGTTAGTTTTATATAGTTTGGCATTTTATATAGTATGTCGAAGGATAGAATGGCAATGGAAATCAATTTACTGAATGCAACGATCCCTGTAAGCCATGAAGTTGGAGAACAAAAGCGAAATGCCGTGGAACGTGGCCAATTTTTCGGTGAAAAAAAAAACAGGACCTTATCCGCCCTTCTTCCTCCGATGAAATAAAACTTATGTCGACGCCAGTTGATTTTTCTCATCGGAAGCGATACATCGAATTAAAATCAAAGCGGAACCATAATCCTCAGAACCAGAAGCTAAAGCGTAAATTAAAATCAGAGAACGCTCAGAGGTCAGGTTGTAGAGGGAGGGATGGGTGGCGATTGGAGTTATTGGATCAAGAAAAACTTGAATAAACTCAAATAATTTCAAATAAACTAAAGTAGCAGAAGTGATATTCTTCAAAAAGCATATATTTCTCAATATAGATGGCACAAAACTGTATACTTCAGGATGGGAGAGATTGTAGCGCGAAGTAATAAAAATCTACCCACTTCAAAACGTGACAAAAAGACAACATATTTAACAATATGAATAAATGCATATCTGCAAAATTTCTAATATATAATGTCCAAAAATATTCAAAGCTCAACTTAAAATTAAGGGCACATCATAGCGACAAAACGACACTGAATGTCCACATTTGCAGAACCGGCCAATTAATACAATACAGACAAATCCATACACAGATGAAAAGTAATCCTGGATGTAAAACACGCAGAGAGACCAGAACGAGAGACTCAATTAATCGAACAGGTCGAAATGCCTTCCTTCTCATAGGCGCAAAATAACCAAAACAAACCAAACAAAAAAGTGGAATGATAAAATTGACAAAAATAATACGTGTGCCAGGCACCACAAATGAGCGACTAGAAATTTAAACACGGGTCACATCGGGTCTCGATAAGGTTGCCTTATTTGAAATCAATGCGCCTCATCCAGCAGAAATGACGATGGTTCACATGGTCCCGACCCGGATTGAAACGCTTTGGGAAGTCCGGACCTCATCATATGCGTCTGATGTAGACCGGATAATTTTTGTCAAATCAGGTCCGGATGATTAAAATTAGCCAAGGCCCGGATGATTCGTTCAAGTCTGAGCCGGATAATTTTATCAACGCGGGCCGGGTAACCCTACCGAGTTACGGGCCAGATTATTATATTGAGTCAAGAGCCGGATAATCCTATATAGTCAAGGACCTGATACTTTGCCGCTATTCAGCCCCAGTTATCAAGCAGTTACTGCCGATATCTTCCCACTATTCTTGTTTTTTGCAAATTTATGGGAGGCTATTTGTCCAATAGGCGTAAAAAAATATACCGTTTCTAGGTTTTACGGTTATTTAATGACTCAGAAAGTTTCATCTACGTGGAGGAATTTTTCTACGTTTTCATTAAATTTTTTCGAAAAACTTATAAACTTTAGTGAGAGTTTAGAAAAATTATGGCACGACTATGAAAATATATAGAAATGAGGAAAGTCATTAAAAAAAAATCCGAGTCCAGAATTCTTCGAATAGGCTCCGAATATTTATTTTAAAACTAATTTTTTTTTCTTCAGCGATTGGTTTTCTGCCGGAGAACAATAATCTCCTCTGCA